CTAATTGGTTAAAGCTAAAAGATTAACAATATTATACAGTGTATGTTTACAAAATGTGTTCTGCAAGTCTAATTGGCTAAAACTGACATGTGTAATGTGATAGTGTTCATCATCAGGGAATAGTGCATGTGTTGTAAGTGTCTTGGCATAGTTGTCTAAATTTCCAAAGTTTATCTTGACTTTTAAAATGGTTGCATAATTAAGTCCCTGAGTATAATTCTTGAGCTACATGTACCAGTTACTGTAATTACTTTTTAGAATATAAAAATTCTGCAGTCACAACAATCAGCATACACCGTACAGGTGTATAGGAAATTACATGAAAACTCTCTATTGTTTTCATAAGATAAGGCAACTGAGAATTCAAGATCCTGACAAAACTTGTAGAATGGATGTCTCACAATACTTAATGTGATCCCTTTCATGTACTCACCTTGGATTTCTGAAGTCTTTCCTCTTTTGTATATTGGTATTTAAATCAAGGTTTCCTCTGTGTTTCTTTTCCAAGAGTTTCATAATCTTCTCCTGTAAAGAAGAAACATACCAAATATTTAGTACTGTATGCTCACTGTTGTATGTTTTTCATGTTAAATGTACCTTAGCAGCACAGAACTTTGACTTGTCTTTCACTTTGTCAACCCCCCACAGAAGCCCTAGGGGAGGAGGTAAGGGTGGTTTATGGTTTCAATTTGTCTTTGGCTTAAGACTTTTCACATCAGTCTCTAAAAAAAAAAAATTGATTTTTATATTTTCTTCTCTTTTCTGATATTCATTATCACAAAATGACACTTGTATATAATGGAAATGAAAGACTTAACCCAAGAATACATTATAATGTCTGCAAATCATTGTAATCATGCACACATCCATCAAATCAAACACTAAAGAGTCTTCTTTTAAAAACCTGAAGTTTGTTTGAACAGCGTCCTGCAGGTTCAGGTGGCAACTGTGGCATCACCGTAGCAGGGATTTGGTTTGATGTTGCAGAATCCAGATGCTCAGCTGAATAATGAATTATAACAACAACAACAACAAAAAAGTATAAAATTTATTTTTATGGAATGCATTAGTCCATCTGAGTGAAAAGCTGAGTTACATCTAAGCACCAGGTAATTTCAAGAACACAGATGAGAAGTCACAAAGAAGCACAAGGTGTACTGTAGCCAAATTCTTTTCGAACTTCTTGCCTGCATGCAAATCTAATAATAATGCACAAGGAGCATGCTGATAATTTCCTTTTAATGATAATATTATTCCCCAAGTGCGTGTTGGATGTGAGATGGTAGATAGCCAATGAGCTGCATAGTGCTGAGTTGGCTATAATCATCTCGAATCCAACAAGCACGAGTGGAATAAAAATGCCTGCAAAATATAGAAAACTACACTAAAATAAAAATGCCCCCCAAAAATCATGACTTGTACGCTTACATACTATATTTGTAGAGCATGGTATAATGGCTCATAACCCATGATGACTAAACTAATGAAAACTCTCAAATTACATTATCCAATGATCTAGTTTAATATTTTTAAAAACTAATACATTCTCCAAGAATTGCAAGTGATCCAATGACTCATGACATAGTCAGTGTGCAATATATCATTAATAAAGCATGCATATAATATAATTGACATAACACACATGCTTTACATCAATGACACTATAAACTTATTATGAACTTAAACCGACAAATGATGGAGTACATGACTCCATGACTCCATGAACATTTTTTTAACAGCATGTAAAACAGTGTAATGCAGTCTTAATGTCTTGTTTCCAATGTTGCTAGCAATTTTGTTCCTGCAGACAGACTGCCACTATCTAAAATGTATTACATGTAAGACCTACAGCTGTGTTTTTAATTAGTTTGTATCAGTAAGATAATTATGCAAGGCAAATGCACAGCTGTTCAAAAGAATTGGAAAGAGAAATACTGTAACTCATTTTGATTCACCTTTTTCAGGTTCTTCTTCAGATTTTGAAGCTTCTGTAATATCACTTATCTACAGAATAACATTCAAATACAATGAACATGTGTAACTACTTACCACATAAAATTATAAAAAACTGGTAACAACAACAAACAAAAACATTTCTTATGCCAACAATAATACTGACAGTCTTATTATGTACATGTACATGCTTGTGTCAATTAACTTTTACAGCAATGTTAAAATAACTAATTAAAATATGAACATGTCATTGACAGTCAAAAAGTTTTAAAAAGCACAAAACCACAATATATTAATAATAAATAAATTAATGAGTCTTTTGTAGAGATGTGTACCATGATAATAAACTGTACCTTCTACAATTAAATCTATGCATTGCAAACAGTTTTAAATTTAAAATTAAAGTGCATGTATCATAATAAACCTGCATCTATCAGAGTTGTGATCACAAAAGAATGCTGATCAATGTGAAAAAAATTATTATAAATTAAGTGATTTTCCTGTAACTCACGATGGATGCAAGTCATCTGAAACATGAATTTTAAAACTGTGTCCATTTGGTTGAAGATCATGTCTTGACTGCTATTACTTTGTGAAGAGCCACAGTTAAAATAAAAGAATTCATAGTTTAATTCCATTCACTGAGCATTACATGTACATGTGCATGTTGGCTTTCACATACTGTAAACTTTTCATACATTATTCTCTTGCTTACATAAATACACAAACAATAACTCTAATATAATTGGCCAACTTGTGCAAAGCTCACTTGCAAGTCT